TGCTGCCTCTCCTTCATTCCCCAGGGGGAGGTTGTGTAGATACATAGAACTGGAGGAAAGGAAGGTGGTGTTTAGTTACCCATGCATCAAGTCTTTGGGATTTCTGTAGTTGGTATGGTATTTACTCACTCTGAATGACCAAGAGAAATACAATTTATAGTAACCTTTCAAAAACAATTTGGAAAACACTTACTGGTTTGTCCCTGAATATGTTAGACCCTGATACTTCTTCATTTTCTTTTTGAGACAGAATTTTAAAAATAATGTTAATTCAAGGATTTGCCATATTAACTTAAGGTACTTCTTGAAATTTAATCATTTGGACAGAGTGGGTAGTGGAGGGATATTCTTAGTAATGCCCTGTCTGAATCAACTGGAAGATGTTGGATTCTGATTGCTTTGGATTATAGGATTTAAATATGAGTACAATTTTTTCTAGTACACTAAATCCAGTTATGGCAGTCTGATTATGATATTTTAATTTTATTTAAGCAAAACACTGGGTGACAATTTTCAATAGTTAAGCCAGATAGAGGTAGGGTTGGATTTCACCTTCCGTTATTATTCATATAATGTTATTGCTCTCAGATTTTATTAAAAGTAGGTCTCTGCTTGATGAATGTTAGGAAGACTATAAAACTGACATGAATTTGCATTTTTTTTTTCCTGGGACATCATTTAGTCTCCACAAGGTCGGAGCTTTGGTCAGCAGTGGGTGTATTCAGGAGTAGCAGTACCTGCAGAAAGCTGCAGCAGGCTATAGATCTGAAACTAGATTAGTGCCTGTGCACAGTATATCATTCTGACACTCAAAATGTTCGAAAGTTTAAGACAGACTCACTAACCTTTAGACTCAAATTGCATGAAGCATGGTTTGAAATTCTACAAAAGGTTAAACTTGCTTTTCTCTTTCTTCATTTTTAGAGTTCTGATTGTATGACATTAGAAAGGCCATGACCGAATTCTAAAAGAACAAGTGTTGGGAGGGTATCCCCAGCCGCTGTCAGCAGATGAAGTATTAGTACAATTTGTCAGTCCAAGCTTTCTGACCTTCCAGCTCCCAAACATGTGTCTGAGGTTCTTTTACTCTACTTGCAGAGCACTGGTTCTCAAGTGTGGATGGGGTAGTATCTGGAGACATTTTTGGCTGTCACAGCATTGTGAGGGGTGGGTGGTGTGCAACTGGTATCTAGTAGGTGGAGGCCAGGGATTCTGCTAAGCACCCTACAGTGCATGGGACAGCTCCCACAAGAAAGAATTGCCTGGCCCCACAATGTCTATAGTGCCAAGGCTGAGACATCTTGCTGTAGAAGTTTTCAAGGTCAGGATATCTCCAGATAAGCCAGCTGGCTGTCAGGAGGGCAATCACAGGTCCCATATCCCAGGTAACATTATCACAGGTCAGAGCCAGCTCTCTCTTAGCCTTGCAACTTCAGAATTTCACTCTCAGGTGTCCCAGAGCTGATCAAACTGTAGGCAGTTGACTTGCATTGAAACTCACAGGAAACTGCATGAATACACCTCTTTCTGCCTTACTAAGTTCCAGTACAGTCCTAGACAGAACTAGCAGATGGAATAGACACTTGTGTTGGCTGCATAGCTCATCTGCTCCTGACAGTAAGGTGTGTAGGAACCCAGATCAGCAGGAGGTGCCTCAGGGAGCCTGGATTCAGAACAAAGGGAAGTCTTTGGGTATTATAAAGATACCTGAAACTCTGAGGTCTGGAAACTCAAAACCTCTCTCTTGAGATGTCCCACCATTTGGGTTGGACATGCTGAGTCTTCAGGATGAGACTCTTCTGTTTTCATCACTGCTGGAATGGGTCTTTGGAACCAATCTCAATCTTTCACACTTTCCTTCTCTGCTTCTGCTGCTGAGCAACTGCTTTTCATTATCCATACTGATTCTTTTCATTAATTTGCTCTTTAGTCTTGTTGGCTCAGGGAAGAATAATTGGTTCAAAAAAATGTGTCATGCACTATTCTGTGACAGGGATCATTAATATAAAGTTTGATATGAGGACAGTGTCCCTGACTGGAGGCTTTCTCGGTCTAGTGGGTGGCACTGATGTGACAACATTTTAGAAGATAGTGGGCAGGACAGTGACGGGGCCACACAGGATTCCGTGCAAGTATGAAGGACACAGACCTACAGTGCACTTTCACCTGGAGTGTCTACTTTGCTCTATCAGGTACTAATTTTGTAGTTTTTGGAGGGCAACCTTATTCCTATGATTCTGAGACCTGGGAGAAGGTTGCAGGGAGTCATTCTCACTCATGTGGACTGTCTGCTGTCCATTTGCTTTTCCTTGGCTTCTGTTCCAAGATTGGGTGTCAGGTGTCTGGAAGATGAAAGAGTCCGATATGCCACTTAGTCATTACTTTTTCCCTCTCAACAATGGAGCAGTCGTTTGTTCATTTCTGAATGCTGTAGTCAACCCACCAGGAAACGCAGCCAGCCTGGAGGGAAGTATAAGGATGATGCAGAGGGTTATTGTGAAGAAAAGGGGGAATTCTGCAGAGGGTGGCAATGCTTGAGTGAGCTTCATGTGTTTTCCAGGATCGGGCTGAATCGCTCAGCAAAAATCAGAAACCTGTTCAGTGCTAAGTCACAAACAATGCTCTCTTCTTTTCAACAGGCCAACATGGACCAGGCTGGGAGCAACATAAAGAAATGGAAAAACTGACTGAGATTATTAAGGAATGGGAAAATATGTTGAATGTACACATTTTTCTTCCCCAATGCCTGCTGGCTTGGGTCATGTTCTGCCTACTACCCCCCATCCCTGCTTGACCTTCCCCAACAACTAAGAGGGATCTTGATTTTCCACATGAATTGAACTCAGGCAGATCTACCTGAGTTTACCTCTTGGCTGTGGTACACCTTAGGTGTAGGACTTTGGACAGATCACTTCTCTGAACCTCAATGTCCCATCTATAAAATGGGAATAATACCATTTACAGTGGCTGAGGGCAGAAGAGATGTGTATAAAATTAAAACGATGCTTGACTTCTTGTGGGTCTCAGACGATGCTAGTTATAATTTTATGTTGAGAAGTCACACTTAGAATGTGAATGCTCCTAGAGGGGTGTGAATGTACATAAATTCATAATAGGAGGTATTGTCTGGTGTTACATCTTGTCTGAAAATCCAGTTTTTTGAAGAGGAATCATGATGAAAAATGGGGTGAGGCACAGGAATTCTCAGTTTTGAGGGGATGGAGAGAGAGAGAGGGATAGCCTGGGATGTCCTTTGTTCATTAGACACAGACGAAAGGCCTACTAGGTACCAGAGCTATAAAAAGGATATACTTGGCTAACCTCCCAGTCTGTCCCTGGGCCAGCCCTGAGCTTCCTGTGGCATGCCAGTGCAATGAACTTCTCTGCACTGCTTGGGGATTCTTAGAAATGCTGCATAGCCTAAATATTTGTGTGTGTGTGTGTGTGTGTGTGTGTAACTAATATAGTGACATCAAAGCTGTTTTCAGTTAATTACCTCTCAGCCAGATTAATCCTACCTTCCCTTAAAACATGCTACAGTTGGAAAGGCATCTGATTGGGAAAGGAAGACTACGTGTGTGCTATACCCTTTTATCCAGGCGCAGCAGCAGTTCTGTGTTTCATTGGAATGCAAAGAACTGGGACTGACCCAATGACAGGCTACTGAGAGGCCATGAAGAAAGGAGGGAGAAAGGAGGAGGAGGAGGAGGAAGGGGAGGAGAAAGAGGAAAGCATGGAGGAGGATGGAGGAGAAGTTTAGCACCTGAATTGATTTTACTTATTCCTGTTGAGATTTCTCTGTCTCCTCTGCTAAGTGTTCCATCATAGAAGTTCAGTTTGGGTGGAGCTGCATTTTGCTTCTGAATCTTTCTTCGGTATCATCTCTGCCAGAGGTAGGAATTTACCCCTTAGCAAAGTCCAGATGTGCTGAAGGATTGCTCTGCTGTTGTTGGGATGACTTGGAAACTGTGTTCCTGGTTCATTCTCCTTTCCTTGCCTCTTGATGTTGTTAGGATGCTATTTACTTGTTTATTTGGTTTTGGGCCTGAGAGCTCTTGGGGAAATGAGGGCAGGCACTGCATCTGGTTTATAATCCCAATCCCTAAGATGATGGCCAGCAGATCTTAAACCACAGCAAATGTTTGTTTAATGACTGACCTAGCCAGAGGCACTTATTTTATGATTTTTGCTCAGAATCAATATTTTCTTTTTTTTTCCCCCCTCCCCGTTTTGGACTTGGTGTTGATTGGAAAACATGAAAGTCCATGGATGGATGCTTAGAAGCTAGTACCAGCCTTCAGGAATGCATCAGCATGAGGCAAGGCTTACCTGGGTGGAAACTGGAATTTTTTGCTTTTTAAAATTTATTCAGAGAGAGAAACTGAAATTTGACTTTTTATTTGTTGTTACAGAACCTTAAAACATCCCCCCAACACACACTTTATACACATAACCACACACAGAAACTGTGTTTGCACCTGAGTCATTTCTGATCTGTATAATGTAACTATGGGCAAATAAAGCAAAATTGAATTTGGCTAGGCTTTGAAATCTATTGATTTCAAATTACAGCAGCAGTGTTAATTCTATTATAGCAGTACCACCCAGAAGTAGGATTTTGAAATGCATTAAAATGCATTCATTTAGAAGCTTACAAGTATATCCTTGATGAATTAGCTGGGAGAATAACACTTCTATAAGAAACCATCTGGGGGTAACTGCAGCCCTAATCCTAGTGCCTGGTTTTATCTTTGGATGTTTTAGTGGCCTCTGTCAGTAGAGGAGTCCTAAGACTTTGACTATATTGAGTACTGAGGATTCTTAAACCTAGTGCGTGTCCAATGCCAGTGATGGTTCCACAAGGGGAAGAGACCACCTCCCACCTGCTGAGAATTGGATAGTCTCATTAGCAAAGTACCCAGAATGCTGATCCTGAGCTAGAATGTCTTGGGTGTATTTCTTCCTTGCAGTTACAGCTTGGCTGATGGTTTTTTCTGCAGGTGAGAGTGATTTTCCAGTGATTGCTTTGGCCTGTATCACCAGAGAACAGGATTCTTCCCTTCTTTTTGGTCACCAAATGCCTATGTCCACCACACATTCCAGTGTGCTGAGAAGGGCAGAGCTTCTTGGATGATGATGGACGTCCCACCGGGCAGGATGAAGGCAGAGCGTGTGGCATCTCCACCTCAAGGGTAAGAGTTGCCATTCTATCTTTTATTTTCTCAAACGCCCATTATTTATCAAAGGAAGACGAGAGTGAGCCTTACAGTGTAGTGAGAAAGAGGAAAGTTAGATACTTCTGATTGTTAAATCCACTGGGCAGTTGGGACATATGACTAAGGGAAGAAAAGTGTTGGTCTCAAAGGATTAGTTTGGAATGATATTAAGGGACAACACTGGCCAACATTAGAAAATGCTATGGTTCACATTTCCTCCTTCTCCCTTTTTTGACATTTATAGTTCAGACTTCAGAGAGTGACACTACTGTTATTGTGACTAGATTCCATTCATGTTCATGTTAGCGACTCTGGTTTAAAATGTGTGTTGTGGGACTGGAATTGGTCAGAGTCTGGCTCAGGTCACAGAATGGGTAGCTCATCAGATGTAGCTGGCACAGCGGCACATCTTTGTTTGAACGACATGATGCTTAAAACATGCTGGATCAATTCTAATTAAACTCGAGATATCCCACATAAGGATCAGGTTTTCCAGGCTCTCCTGGGAACACCAAATGATATGTCTATACTAGGCCTCTGTTCCTAAAAAGGGTTCCAGTGCTGAGTAGCCTCTGCCTGTTAGAGAAGTGGGGACAGTTCACCACCATCCCCGACCAGCTCAGATGTTTGACTTGATTGGTCACCGAAGCATTTAATTTTGCCATGCCTAATCTAGATCATTCTACTAGCTCGTTGACAAGAGCAGTTAATAGCTTTTGTTAATTCTTCCAGATAAAAGCAAGTATCTTTTACTGGATTATGGGCAGCACTTAGCATAAGGGGCTGTAGTTGTGAGAGGATAATATGTGATCCCTTCCACAGTGGAGCTTAGAGTCTAGAGTAAGCAACAATCAGACTTGTGGGGAATTAGGAGAATTGTAGAGAATATCGTAATGCCTTGTGATATGTGCTAAAATGAAGGTGGACACAAGTGGGCTATGGGAGAGGGTGAATACAGGGGGGAGGTAGAGAGGGAGAACTAATAATTTGGCCTGGGCCCAAATTTTCCAAAACTCCCCCCACTGAGCAACAGAGATTTCCCATGACAGACTTCTGTACGTGCATGATTCCATACAACCTGGCTCAGTTAGAGATATGATGGAGTATTTATAGCAGGGTTTGGAGCCCCTCTTGTGGCAAAATCCACATTTTTCCTGTTTCTGTTTGAAAAGCTATCATCTGTGAATTTTTGCTTTTTACAAAGAGGCAGCTTTCTGGCTGTTTGGCTCACTAAATCACTCAGCCTTCTGAGCAGCTCTCTGCTTGGAGATGAGCTGTGTGAATTACAGAGATCCCTGGAGTTTCCAGAGAGTAGCAGTCACACTAAATACAGATTCAGAGGGAATGAGTACAACTTTAATGTGATTGTACCAGTTAGTGGGAGTAAGAGAGGGGGAGGGAATAGAGGAAGGAAGTGGGGGAAGGTAGAAATACTGTTATATCAATCTTTTATTTTTGGAATACAGTTTTACACGTGTCTTGTGCTTTATGTTTTTAAAAGACTTTTACATTTGTTATTTTATCCTCAAGGTGGGTTTATAATCTCCTTCTATAGAAGAAGACTCCACCTGCCCAAGGTCATGCAAATGGGAAGAGGCAGCTTAGAAACAAGTTTTCAGAATCCTACAATTTCCCTCTTTTGCTAGTAGCTGCTGATAATTCAGCATGAATAAAAGGACACATTGTTTTTGTTTTGTAAGGTTTAAATGTGTTCAGTTTATGAATGCTCTGAAATAGAGCACTCTGGGACCCTGCAGATGATCCAGACCTGTGCCATTGGTGTTTCATCTGGCTGTGGCCCATGCTGTCAACATCTCAAGTGCAGGACAGACCTAGAAGGGAGGGAGTTCTCTTGCCTGACTGTTTGGCCAGTGGGACTCAGGCTTTACAGCAAGCCTTCCACAGTGGACTGGGCTGCACCACTTGGAAAGCTACTGGAGGGAATGGTTCTATGTAGGAGCCTCACCATGCTCAGACAATGCTGTAAGAGAGGACTGTTACCGAGGAGGCGCCTGGTAGGAGGGTGCTGAGGAGGAAACATGGCGGTGGCTTGAGTTTAGGTTTCCAATTCTGTTTAAATTTGCTTGGTTTTATTTTGTATATCCCCACATGGCATGACCAGAAATTGAATTTAGTATGACCTACTCTTTAAATACATCTAAATTAGCTTTCTTTTTAAATTTAATAGAATGAAAGAAAACTCTTAGAAGAATGCTCCAAAAAAGAAGGCAATGTTAATGCTGAAAATGGTGTAGTTTTTTCTTTGTTGAAAAAGGACTAATGTAGATTTTTGGACATATGGAAGGAAAAGCAAATCTAGGTTTTTATTAACTTTTATGAAATTGATACCAAAAAGCAGTTCTGTCCAGTAAGACAAATTGGCTTGTATTATAATACTTTTATTACTTTTCTGATCAAAGCAGGTGCATTATCAGAGACAGCCATGAGCTTGTGTGTATGTGTATGAGTCAGCCTTGAAAAGACACAATTTTGAGATATTTTCTTAGGTGAGTTTGAGAGCATGAAGCAACAAGAGCAGAAAGTGGACCCAGAGAAGGTGAATAAGAGGTTAATGGCTTTGAGAAAGCTTTATAGGTGCCAGTTGAAGACAAGTGAATCAACGGTGGTTTTTATTTTAAGCTGCCAGTCAGTATCGTGGATTTTTGACATCCTTTCCTTCTTTTCAACCTTATGAACACCACGAGGCCCAAGGTGGCCAAATACTGTATGTACAGTGTTCTCACCATGAGTGATTTGGGTTGATAGTAAGCAGGAGAATCGATACAGTGAACTTAAGTTTAACTTTAAGAAAAGAATGAAAAGCAGTTGGGTCTTCTACTTTGTGGCCAGTGCCACTGTATCCTCAGATGCACTTGATTTGAGACCGCATGTGTCCTCAGCATGTGAACGTCCATTTCCTTACAGAATGGCTAACAAAATATGCAAATGAGAACATCAGGCAGCCTCTACCCACCCCCCTCCCAGTTAAAAACCAACAAACAAACGTTAAATACACATATTTGAGGCATCATGAATAGAGCCTGCCCCATAAAAGCAGGACAATGTTGGGCAAATTCTGAGCCCCAGATATCCCCATTTGCAACACAGAAGTCTAAGTTCTACCAATTAGGACTGTTGGAGGATTAAAGAACATGATTCATTCATTCACTTATACATACTCATTGCCTGCTAGTGTCTATGTACTGCACCAGTTGCTGAGAATAAGAGTTAATAATAGTATATATGAAAGCACATACCGCAGAGCGCATAGCCTGAAAAAAGATGCTTAGCAAATTTTTCTTAAAATGGGGTTTTTTTTTTGAGACAGAGTCTTGCTCTGTCACCCAGCCTGGAGTGCAGTGGTGTGATCTCAGCTCACTGCAACCTCTGCCTCCCAGGTTCAAGCAATTATCCTGCCTCAGCCTACTGAGTAGCTGAGACTACAGGCACCTGCCACCACACCTGGCTAATTTTTGCATTTTTTAGTAGAGACGGGGTTTCACCATATTGGCCAGGCTGGTCTTGAACTCCTGCACTTGTAATCTGCCCACCTTGGCCCCCCAAAATGCTGGAATTACAGGCATGAGCCACCACAGCTGGCCAAAACATTTTTAATGGAGAATTTTAACATGTACAAAAATAAAATGATACATTAAACTCCTGTATGCCTACCCATTACCCACTGCAACAGTGATTAACTCATAGCCATCCTGCCTTCTCATGTATTATTATGAAATCAATCCCCAATGCTATGTAATTTTATCAATAAATATTTTAGTATTATTTCCAAAAGATAAAGATTTTCTTATAAGAACATAATTCTATTACTATTACATAATTCTATTACTATTGGGACACTGAAATATTAACAATAATTTTTTTATAATATCAAGTATCTAGTTTTTTGTACTAGTTTGTTCTCACTTTGCTATAAAGAACTATGTGAGATTGGGTAATTTATAAGGGAAAGAGATTTAATTGATTAAGAGGTCCACATGACTGGGAAAGCCTCAGAAAACTTAAAATCATGATGGAAGGCAAAGGGAAGCAAGTACATTTTACCATGGTGAAGCAGGAGAGTGAGAGAGAGTGAAGTGGAAAATACTACACATTTTCAAACAACCAGATATCATTAGAACTCACTATCAATCATGAAAACATAACAAACAGCAAGGGGAAAACTGCCCCTATGATTCAATCACCTCCCACCAGGCCCCTCCCCTGAGACTTGGGGATTACAATTTGACATGAGATTTGGGTGGGGACACAGAGCCAAACCCTATCAGTTTTCAAATGTCCCTGATTTTCACACACACACACACACACACACACACACACACACACACACACACACACAAATATAAACATATATATAAATATACATATGAAATATACATAAATACATATATATTTAAGCATTTGGCTGGTTAGAATCAGGATCTATACAAAGTCTGTATGTTGGATCTGTTCAATATGCCTCTTATTTGATCTGTGTCATTTGTTCTGAAAGATTTCCCAGTCTTGATTTTGCCGACTGTACCCCTGTGGTGTTATCAAACATATTCCTCTAAAATATTTATTTTGTTTCAGTAAAATCTAGTTATTTTGTTACATTAGGCTTAATTAGTGGATTCAGATATTGCAACTCTGATCTCTGTTATAAAATTCTCCATCAGTTTTTAATCTAGATTTTATCAGCCAATGATGATCATTTATTAGATCCATTATTTGAGTTGCAAAATGGCAATATTTTAATTCTACTATTCCTTCTTTACTTATCTAGAATCCCTGTTTATTAACTTATTTTTATTATAATTTTTTAAAACAATAAACAGAAATGGAATCTCACTGTGTTCCTGAGGCTGGTCTCAAACTCCTGGGCTCAAGTGATCCTTCAGCCTTGGCCTCTCAAAGTTCTGGGATGAAATCCCTTTTTAAATAACAGTATTATTGAGATATACTTTGAATACAGCAAA